ATTTGGGCCATAAGAAAGGCATAGAGTTGACCGGTTGGTCAAACGGGGCCCAATTACCGGTATTGGTAATTTAGCGGATAACAGCCCGAAATGAGTTTCGGAGACTCCTAAATTAATGTTGGGGATAGTACATCTATTCTAAAGGCCCATAATTATTGGGAACACGTGATATATTTTATTTGGTCCGATAAAATAAAATATGATTAAAACGGGCCGAGAAATACAACTTTCGGGGCCGATTATACACATCGGGACGTAATGGGATGACCTCCCACATGAGTGGGGGCCACCCCACGATTTTATGTGATCTAATGGACACATTGGGAGCTGAGTGAGTCAAATAAACATGGGCTGTGCATGAAGGGATGGCTGGAGACAACCAACCACTCCCTTGGCCATACCTCTTCATTGTTTTTGGCTTGGGTGAGGATAGATACCTCCCCCCTTCCATTTGACACCATTCACTCGACCAAAGCAGAGAGAGAAGCTCCAGGGAAGTCTCCTCTCCTAGTGCAAGCAGCAAGGAAGAGAATCCAAAGAGAAGAGGGTTGTTCTTGAGGTAAGAACTCAACAAACAATCTTGTAACTAGTTTTTTGTGTATGATTTTTGAGAAATCATATGGTGGATTAAATCATGAGTTCTACACGTCTAAAAGTGTAGAATATTGTTATAAAGTGGTGTTAATTAACTTAGAAGAGTTGGTGAATCGATAGGAGTCGAAACCGCCGGAAACCGCCACATATAGGGAGCTGTTCGTAGTTGCAGACTACGAAAGCCGCCCGGCTTTGGCCCAGAAATCCAGCTTTTCACTTTCAATCGGCCTAGAACGGGGATTGATCGAGGGGCTTAACAAAGGCAACTATTGTAGCACATCACGAGGTGAGGATGACTGACTATATTGCTTATAATTAGTGAGTTAATTTCATAAGAATGCCTAAAGTAATTAGATGGGATTTTCATGGACTATTAAAGATTAATAATGTCTAAATGAAAATAATATGAATATGAGTAAGTGAAGCATGACATACAAATTTAGAATAATTGTGTATGATTATGTGAAATGAATGGAATGGCATGTTAATGGAATTACTAAGATGACATTGTGATAAATATACTTTACTACATGTATGAAATCCATGAATGGATTAAAGTGATATTTTTGATATTGAGATCAAACTATACTTGGGTTGAGAAATCAATGGAAATGAAATGCAATTTGGGAAATAGGAACTTGGCATGTTCTAAGGCTATCCAATTAGTATCAAAATACTAGTCGGGGAATTAATATAAATAAATGATGAAATAAATCCTAAGAGGTAGGATTGTGAATAGATATGCCTTAAGTAGTCTCAAGAGATACTTAAGGATGAATGGTATGAACACTAAGGAGTGATTAGAGGTAGGCCTAACGGCCACCTCCGGGAATTGATTCTAGGCATAGGACTTGCTTGAGAATTTGATTATGAAAATAAATAGAGTTGGACTCTAGGATGACATGGAGATGTAGTTGGGCCGAGCCCATGCCATGTAATATGATTAGCATGGAAACGTAGTTGGGCCGAGCCCTTGCCATGTATATGTGACCTCCGTGGAAACGTAGTTGGGCCGAGCCCTTGCCACGAAGTTATGGTTGGTATGGAAACGTAGTTGGGCCGAGCCCTTGCCATACAAATGTTGATATGATACATCGAGTTAGAGGATTGTATAGAGATGTAGTTGGGCCGAGCCCATGCTATACAATTGGGGCTCGATGGGACCCCACGGGGTTATCGTGACTCGCGGTCACGGGGGAATGGGAACGGTGAATTCTAAATGAATATGGGCCTACGGGTCGTCTACTGACTTTATGTAAAGTAAGTACAGTTAAGGGTAAAAAGGGGTAACCGAGGGTTATGGCCTATTATATAATAGTACCCTAAGACGGGGGTCTTGGAAATTAAAACGTTGATTATACTTAGTATAGTTGCTATTGTACTTGTCAAATATTTCCAAGTACTGACCTCCCCTTCACGGGGGAGGCCACCTCACAGTTTCAGGTAGGACTTGAAGGTTGCTACCGGCGCCCGTTGCTTCAGGGATTTCCAAGGGAGAAGACGTGGTTCGTGCTTCTTCTGTTTCCTGTTTTCAAAACAATTATAACAATGCTCATGGATACTATTTTTGAATAACTATTTGGGTGCTTGTATGCCCATGTTTGCCAAAGTGTGGCTAAGACATCTTTATTAAATGCTTCCGCTGTTTTAAATGAATGATTTACATTATGCTTGTTTATGGATGTACTATGTGTGAATGGTATTCAAGACGCCTTGTATAGTATGGATGAGTTGGACTGCAGTTGACTATTCGTACTGTACGACGGGTTGTTGACGTGTCCGGGTAGGTCCGGGGCGTGACACCTTGGGTTTAGAGAGCACTGGGGGTGAAGATAAGTACCGTTTCAGTTCCTCGAAGGCCCCCTAACACTCTGAGGTCCACTGGGAACCGGTGGTTTTTCTCATGATCTGGAAGAAGGGTAAGGACTTCTCCGCCGATTTTGATAAGAAGCGATTGAGAGCTGCCAGGTGGCCCGTCAATCGTTGGACCTCCTTACGTTGCGTGGGGGCTCCATGTTGATGATGGCCTGGATCTTCTCGGGGTTGGCCTCGATACCCCTTCGGCTCACCATGTAGCCCACGAATTTTCCCCCTTGAACGCCGAAGGTACACTTCTTTGGGTTTAGCCGAAGGTTGAATTTCTGCATGATGGCGAAGATTTCCCTCATGTCGTCAGCATGGCTTGCTGATTGCTTGCTTTTGACGATCATGTCGTCAACATATGCCTCCATGGTACGCCCTAAGACATCTTGGAATACCCTGGCCACCATCCGAGTGTAGGTGGCGCCTGAGTTCTTTAGGCCGAAGGCCATGACAAGGTAGCAGAAGATGCCCTCGGGAGTCATGAAGGCTGTTTTTTCTGCGTCTTCCTCATGCATAAATATTTGATGATATCCGTGGAATGCGTCGAGGAATGACATGATTTCACATCCCGCGGTTTCATATATAAGTTGATCAATGTTTGGCAAAGGAAAGGAGTCCATGGGACACGCCTTGTTGAGATCCGTGTAGTCCACGCACATGCGGAATGAGGGTGGTTTTTGTGCGAGGACTACGTTTGCCAGCCATGAGGGGTACTTTACCTCCTTGATGTGCTTGATAGAGAGGAGCATGACAACCTCCTTCTTCAAGAATTCCCTCCTCTCGACCGAGAGGGGTCTCCTCCGTTGTTGTACTGGTTTGGCCGAAGGGTCCACCGAGAGGCGGTGGGTGATGACCCTTCGGCTGATCCCCGACATGTCCTCTGACCCCCATGCAAAAACAATGGAGTAGGCGCGGAGGGCGCTGATGATGTCGGTCTTCAAGTCTCCGGGGAGCTTGGCTCCAATCTTCACGACTCTCTCCGGCTTGGGCGGATCGAGCGTGAAGTCTTCTACCTCCTCGGCTGGTTCAACCCTCGGTCTCCTTTCTTCCGCTTTTATAGTTCCGGTGATGGTGTCAACGCGGAACTCCGTCTTGCTAACCTTCTTTGTCACTTGAAGGTAGCAAGCGTGGGCAAGCTTTTGGTTCCCCCTTGAGTAACCGATTCCCCCCTCGACCGGGAACTTGAGGCAGAGGTGCCTCATGGAGATGACGGCTTCGAGATCCTCGAGGGCTGGCCGGCCGAGGATGATGTTGTGGGCGCAGTCGATGTTGACGACGACGAACTCCACCTCGAGCTTGGCTCTATGGAGCCCGTCGCCGAAGAGTACCGGGAGGGTTATAACCCCCTCGGAATCAATGGTGTCGCCGGTGAAGCCGGCAAGAGGGGTCTTGATGGGCCGAAAGGACCCCCTCTCCAGATGCAGCTCTCTGAAGGTACTGAGGTACATTACATTGACGGAGCTGCCCGTGTCAACGTAAGTTCGGTGAATAATAGTGTCGTTTATTTCTGTGCGGATGATGAGGGCATCCCTGTGTGGGGAGGACACTGGGGGGAGATCAGCGTTAGTGAAGATAATGGGTTCCTCCCTCAGCCGCTTTACTGGGGGCATATGAGTGACTTCCCCCACGTAAAGTGATTGAACCCACTTCTTTCGTTGACTCGTAGAATCACCCCCGGTATTGCCCCCCGTGATCATGAAGATGTGGCGTTTCTTTTCTTGGTACCGGGGGTACTCCTCCTCCTCTTCTTCCAGATTTCCAATCTCCCTCTTCTTGCCGAGGGGGATGGTGTTGGGGTTGACCCATGCATTCCTTATTTAGTCATTTTTTTTTGTCAAATTTGAGATCTAGTCATATATTTGTCTAATAAAACCTTAGGAGTAGTATTTCAGCCATTATTTCTAATAGTAGTTATATTTTCATATTATAACTACTAATATTATTTTCATATTAATCATATTTTCACATTAATCATATTTTCATATTATTGATCAGACAAGCCAAACATATACTCACATTAATCATAGTTTCATACTCCGTATTAGTTACATTTCAATTATTAGCCATATTTTTATTATTAGTTACATTTTAATAGTGACCAAATTTTAATACTATTCACATTAATCACATTTTCATATTAATTACATTTTAATATTAATCACATTTTAATATTAATTACGCACTAATATCTTGGATTACTAATATTATTCACATTTTCATATTAATAAAAATATTTTAATATTAGTTACATCATAATATTAGTCATATTTAAATACTAGTCATACTTTAATATTCATCATATCTTAACATGTGCTACATTTTAATATTGATCTTGTTAAAAAATGTGTAACGCCATAAAATGAATTGATATGAGTAGTTTCCAACACAACTGCAAAAGAAAATTTCGAATTCTCTATCCTTTTTATTATTTAAAAAACCATTTTTTTTTTTCTCAAATTGTACCAATTTTTACTGCCAGTTTTAAACATTTTTTAAAAATTTTCGTCTACAACAACTTTAAAATATCTAACTTTTAAAGGTATAGGCAATCCACACACTCTTAAGTCTTAATACGGAGCATCTCATGCCGTACGAGTAAAATTATTCAGATCTGACCGAGGAACTGGGAAACTCAGCCCCGCAGAGAGGACCGACTCATCGACATCGACATCGACATCGACGAACCGTCACGAACACCAAGTCGCCGACGGCCGACGCAGCGGCGCTTGGACGCCCTATCCATCCTCAGTGGTCAGCGGCCTCAGCCTTCTGGTGCGCTGCACGCGGCACGCCTGCCGCCTAGCTTCTCTTCTTCTGCTTCCAGTTTCAGGCCCTGCGTTTCTACACTTTTGCCCCTTCAGGCTTCTCAGGAGTTCTGGAGACTGGTACTCTAATCCTCTTTAACTCTTTTATCGATTACTTCATAGCTGTTACAAATGTTTACTTGATTTCTCGATTAGTTCATATTATTATATTCATAAATCATAATTGTTGATTGTTTTCTGTTGATTTGTTCTGCCTTGAGCTTTTATTGATGCTGAGGTTACTTGATTTCTTAATTAATTCATATGTTGAATGTTGAAACTGCTTTAGTTGCTCTGTTGATGATGCGGTCCAGCCTTTTTTTTTAAGTTATTAGTTGATTAGTTTATAGTTGTTCACTTGTTGAATTTTAAATGATTAGTTCATTTTTCTGTCATATAATTACATCTCAATCTTTATTAGTGTTAATGTGTTTGAAAATTTTTATAATTAAAGTTATTTATGAAAAAATTCCTTAAAATAGAATTAAAAAGACAAAATTCATAAATTAGACTATCGTTATATTATGCCCAAAACAGGGCTCATTCACTCCTATTTTAGGATGTTTTAATCTAACTTATTATTTTAATACGACTAAATAAGTCCTGTTTGAGAAATAAAACATATTTGGTCTTATTTTTGAACTTTGTCAATATTTTGGTGCTATATTGAACAATTTCTGTTTATAAAGTTATGTAATTTCATGGTGTAATAAAAATGGTTTAATCTAGATGGAAGAAAGAAAAAATAAATGATTAGGGAAAACAGAAATTTTATTATTGACGATTTCGAAATTGGATGTTAGAAAGACTTGATTATGAAGCCATTGTTGATGATTTCGCTTTGCAATGCTAAACAAGAAATGCATTGATGTAATTTATTATTATTTTCTAGGGAAAAGTATCAAATAAGTCCTCATACTATTTAAAAAAGTCAACTAAGTCCTCGTACTATCAAATCACTCCATCAAGCCCTCAAGTTATAAAAAACACCCAATTTCACTTTTTTGCTGGTTAGGTACTGGCAATGTGGTCAAAAGAGCTCGCCCCAGCTCTTAAGCGCACCAGGCTCAGCGAGCAGGGCCTCCAGCGCTTGGGAGATGGGTAGGCGCATACACCTGTGTTAGTCGCAGCATAAGCGCTTGAAGCGCAGGGAGGTGCACGCCTGGGTCGCCCAATCCGGAAAAGGCTGGCAACCTTTTTTTGTTTAAAACTTTCAAAAATAATTAGCCCATATCTTTAATAAAACTCAGCCCATCTAAATAATAGACTAAAAGGATTGAAACCTACGTAAAACCTCAAGTCAAGTACGTAAACACGTAAAACCTCAAGTCAAGTACGTAAACACGTAAAACCTCAAGTCAAGTACATAAACACGTAAAACCTTGCGTAAAACACTAAGCTATCATCGCTAGCCATCATCGCTCTTCAGTCTACTCACCCTCCTCACTTAAGCTGCTCTACTCCGGCCAGTTCTTTCAGTTTTCTTATCATCTCAAGCAAACTCAGTTCTCCCTCACAGAACTAAACAAAATATGTGTTCTTTTTCATGCAGTCCTCCTCATCCAAATACTGATATAGTATATTGCCATGTATATAATAAAGTACTACTATATTACTATGTATAAAATACTCTATATTACTCATAATAAAGTATTAATACTCTGAATTACTCTGTATTACTCACAACACTTATATACTGCTATGTACTACCTCCGTTCTCTTTTTATTGCAACATTGAAGAATTTGCACTATTCACATATTCTACTTTGACTATATTTTATTTATTAATGCATTGTAAAGTTAATTTTTGAAAAATATTGTTAAACTTCTCTCATTTTAAATTTTCAAAATCTGAACTTTTTATTTTTTATACTAATGAGGAATGAAAGATATTAATGGTCAAACTTGTGCGTTGGAAAACGTGAAAAGTTGATTGTTGCAATTAAAAAAGAATGTAGGAAGTATGTAATAAAGTAATAATATTTCTAAAAAAAAGTAATAATACTCTGTATTACTCTCTATATTACTCACAAGTCACAACACTAGTATATTGCTATGTATGTAATAAAGTAATACAACTCTGCGTCTCTGCATTACTCTATATTACTCACAACACTAGTATAATGCTATGTATATAATAAAGTAAGGGATAAGGCTCAAATTGGACACTATGGTTTCATGAGAATCCCATATTGGACACTAAGGTTTTAAATAGACCAAATTTGACACTATGGTTCAAGGTTGTCAAAGTCGTGCGCCTGAGCGCTTAAGCGCAGCAGGCGCAGCGCTAGAGAGGTCCAGCGCCCTATGGATGGCCAGTCGCACCTTCCCTTCTAAGGCGCAGGTAAGTGGTGCAAAGCGCAGAAGCGCAGATGCGCTATACAGCGCTCGCTGAACGCGCCTGAGAAGGGAGGGTTTATTTCCGGTTTTACTTCACATGTGCGGTCAAATAAGACCATTAAGAAGCCCATTTTTTTTTACTAAAGCCCATGTAAATAAGGTCAAAACAACTAACCTTAGCTAAACGCATAACGTAAACCCCCTGCTCTGCTCAACGATCGAAGTAAGCGTTCTTGTCCTGCATCTTCCATTTTATTTACTATGTATATTACTATATAACACAATATAATAAAGTACTAGTATATTACTATGGAGAAAAGTGTCAAATAGGTCCATGTACTTTAACGAAAACTCAATTGAGTCCTACTACTTTTAAGCGAATCAATTAGGTCTACGAAGTATCAAAAATTGATCAAATTAGCCATTTTCTAGGTAATAATCTGGTTGCCCGGTTGACGGATGACGTGGATGTCCATGTATGTCCATCTGTCATTTTTAAATTTTTTTTTGAATTCTTTTCCTTTTTTTCCTTCTTTTCCCTTTTCTCCCACTTCCCGTCCGCACTTTCTTCTCCCGCAGGCCCCAACTGCATTTCCTTTCAATTCCTTTTCTTTCTTCTCCGGCGAAATTTCAGACCTCCACCTCCGGCGTGCCGGCCTCCATCTCCGACTGCTCCACCAGAGAGATCTCTGGCGCCACCATCCACGTACCCACCACGCACCTCCGCCGCCCCGACCTACATACCCACGGTAACCCACCACCTTAGGTGGTCCACCCTCGCCGTCCGGCGCCGGCAACCCATGTCCACCACCTCCGCCGACCCTACCTCCAAACCCACCACTTCCACCGCGACGGTTCCCCTACATACATACCCACCATCTCCGCTGCTCCTACCTTCATACCCCCCACCTCCTATTCATCGCCCCTACCTCAGTATACCTTCCATAGACCATAGCCACAGCCTCCCAGACAGTCGTCACCTTCTATGACCAGTGACGGAGACCGAAATAAGGGCAAGGAGGGATTGAGAGATGAAAGAAATAAAAAAAAGAAATATGAAAGAAAAAAGAAAGAAAATGAAATGAATAAATGGAATGAAATGAAGAAATGGTCAAATGGGGAAGAACGGGGTCAAATGGGGAAGAACGGGGTCTGAAGTCTGTGGACTGTGGGAGTGGAGAGAAAAAGAAAGAAGAAGGAGAAAGGAAAAAGAAAAACTAAAAGAAAACTACAAAGTATAAAAATAATACAAAACAGTAAAAAAACAACCAGCTGGATGTCCATGTCACCAGTCAACCGGGAAACTTGCTCATTACCGGTAAAATAGTTAGTTTGATCAATTTTTGATACTTCGTGGACCTAATTGATTCGCTTAAAAGTAGTAGAACTCATTTGACTTTTTCTTAAAAGTACATGGACCTATTTGACACTTTTCTCTATTACTATGTATATAATACTCTATATTACTCATAATAATGTATTAATACTCTGCGTTACTCTATATTACTCATAGCACTAGTATATTGTTATGTATATTAAAAAGTAATAGTACTCAGTATTACTCTATATTCCTCACAGGCCACAACATTAGTATATTGCTTTGTATATAATAGTCATAATACTCTGTATTACTCTATGTTACTCACAACACTAGTATATTGCTATGTTATTAATAAAGTAATAGTACTATGTAGGCTCACAAGTTTAACAAGGGGAAATAGGCTCCAATTTGATTGTCTTTTACTTATAGTTTTAGTATTAAAGCCATAAATTCTGAATTTGGTGTTTTATTTTTTGTAAATCATGACTTTATTTTGGTGAATCCTGGATTTTATATGCATTTGGTTCAATATAATGTTACATACATCATATTTGGTAATTATAGAATAGTATATGTGATTTATATAAGTAATGCTGTTCACCCGAGTCAGGCGAGCGCTTTTTTGCGCCTTGCGCCTCAGGCGCTAGAAGACTCCTAGCGCTTCAGGTGCGCCTTTCGACTTTGACTACCTTGCTATGATTACATATGTATCTCATATTGGACATTGAAATTTCATAATTCATAGTTTTTGGACACCCACTTATGATTCTCTTCTTCCTTTAATAAAAATCGTTAGTCTTACATTTCCTTTCTTTTTTTGTGAAAGTAAACCAATTTAATTACGTATACAATTTTGGAATATTTAATTTGAAGTTTTAGAATATATAATTTAATTTTAATTAATAACTTCTTGTATTTAACAATTAAAAAATATGTTTAGGACTTTTCATTCATATGAGTGTTATGGAACTTTAAGAAATATCGATTTGTTAAATTGATTTAAAAATATTAAAGAATTCAATTGATTTTCTTAATTGGGGAATCTAATTAGATATTCTAAATCTAAATACACAAATTAAGTTATTTTTATTTTTTAGGTACATAAAATCAGGAGAAAAGGGAATACTTATATCTTTCAAGGTGAAAATCTTTGATTAGTGTCTGAAAATGATAAGAAAAAACGTAAAATTTGATCAATTTGAAACTTTAGTGTCACATATGAGACACACAAGAAACCATAGTGTCCAATTTGGTTCATTTGAAACCTTATTGTCCAATATGAGATTCTCAAACTAACATAGTGTCCAATTTGACCCTTATCCCATAAAGTAACAATAATACGTAGTCCGAAAATCCGAGTTCAAGTACTACTCGTAGGCTTGTAGATGAGGAAAGTGAGGGAGCAATTGAAGAGGATGTTGGAGAATATAAATCAGATATGGAGAAAAAATCAACTCCTCTTTTGATGATGAATGGTCCTTCCCAAGTTTAACAAGGGGAAATAGGCTCCAGTTTGATTGTCTTTTATTTTTAATTTTAGTATTAAAGCCATGAATTCTGAATTTGGTGTTTTATTTTTTGTGAATCATGACTTTTATCCTGTTTTTTTATGAATTATGACATATTATCTGATAATGCGCTTTTTTTGGTGAATCCTGGCTTTATTTTGGTGAATCCTCGTGTCGGGCCCGTGCGAGTTTTTTGTTTTGTTGAGACCTGGAACCGGCCCGGGTAGCTACCGGGTCCGGGTCGGGCCGGTCTACACGACCGGGTACCGGGTCGGGCTATTTTTTATGTTGTTTACAAATTAATTCAAGAATTGTTGGATATACAAAAGTTAAAGTATATTTATTTGAAATATGTAGTACAATTGAGAATTGAGAAAAATTTAAAACATGAAATACATTTTCTAATAAATAATAATCAATCGGAATCTCCGTCATCTTCGGTTGTTTCTTCCATAAAGTGGCGGGTGGGGGCGATGCTCACTTCTTGAGTTCTACGTTGGGCTTTCAACCAATCGTGGAAGCAAACAAGCGTCTCAATAGAGTTTGCGCTCAATCTAGTTCTATAATCCGTTAGCACGTTGCCGGCCACACTAAATTCTTGTTCCACGGCAATTGTTGATACCGGCATTGCTAGCACTTGCTTAGCCATTTTGATAAAACCGGGAACGTTCTTTCTTTTTCCTTCCACCACTTTAGAACGTCAAAGTCATCCCCTTCTTCATACTCAACAGGAAATGTTAGATACATAGAAAGCTCGTTAATCGAGCTCGTGTGCATGTATAAGTTGAAACTAAAAAACAAGCACTTTCTGTTCTAACTTATAAAGACTACAGTCATGCAATCATACTTGTGAGATTTTGCTTAACTTGTGAGATATCCACTTTTGTAGTTTTATGCATTTTTGTCACATCATGAATGAACAAATCAAACTCATACTCGCATTATTACTTCTCTTGCATTAATGTTTTTTGTTTATTTAAATAGAGTACGATTAATGCACAAATCTTTCTGAGTATCTAAGATTCTTATGCTCCATTAGTCTCTTCATATATTGTTATTCCTACCCTTGGGTCATTTCTTAAACCATGGCCCTACTTGTTTATACCATTGATTTTGACCTTATTCTTCTGTCCGTGTAGGTTTAGTAAGTTATTCTGTCTATATGATCAGCACTTCAATGTTGCCAGAGGGTTAGTGCAGTTATGGCTTGCGTGAAGGCTGTCACTCATCTTAAGGGTAAATTACTAACTTTTTTATGGTATGACTATGGCTTCCTTCAATCAATAAACTGTTTTAGTTGCTTCCTATTCTTTTACTGCTGGAGACTCGAAGGGTCTATTTGAAATCTGGAATTTACAACGGGAAGATACGCTGAAATTCAATGAATATGTTTAGCTACTTGTTGGTACTTGTTTTATTTATTTATGTCTATCACACAAGGTTTAAGGAATCTAAATATATGTATAATAAAGGGAGAGAGATCAAATTGGACATTATAGTTACATGTGAATCTCATATTGGCCATTGCGGTTTTCCGTGGACCAAATTGAATGTTAGAGTCCTCAGCAGTACAGAACAATTACAGTAGATTAACAAGAAAACCAAACTGAATTCTTATTTGATGAAGAAGATCGGTTACACAGAGAAGCAGTAACAAAGGCCGAAGCCTCCCAAAAGAGAAGAGAATAACTCTCTAATCTTTCCCAGTCCCAGTCCAAAGTCTAAACAGCCCCCTACTAATTCCCCCCTCCCGTCTATTTATACTATACAATACCTCAAGTACCCATTGCTAATATTCTTATTACGACTTCTATTATTAGTCTAATATAAGAGGGTTCCTAACAATACTCCCCCCCTAAAGATCCACCTTGCCCTCAAGGTGGTCGGTAAGAGACAGCCCAGATCTTCTGCTTCTTCTTCTTCCTTGCACCCCTTCCTTCCCAATATCTTCCAAATGTCAGGATCCTTAACTTCTTGACTTGAATCTTCCTTCTCACTGCTTCTCGCAAAAACAACATTAGCTCCTTTTTCTTCCAATCATCAATATTAGGCCCGTGCCTTTGATCATGCTGGTACTGATCTTTACCCACCAATCCACCATCCCTTTCTCATTCTTCCATGTGCTAATAGCTCTTGCTACAGGATATAACTCAAATCTTTGAGTTTCAGTTGCTTCACTCCTTGAATTTTCAGCATCTTCATTAGCCAACTTATTTGAGAAGGAAAACCTCAAAGGTTTTAGCAGGTAGGTAAGGATATCCACTATTCCAGTTGCATTTCCCCCAACTGAAGAACAGGAAAGCCTATTATCCATGCAAAACTTCCAAAGTAGGTTTTCTTGAAGGTAGACAGATTCTTCATTAGAAGAAAACAATTCACTTTTCAAGCCTTGTTTCAGCTTCAACTGTCCATTTGCTACAGCTTCCAATCCCACGACCATACTCTGAGTATTAAGATCCAGGACCACACTGATTTTATCCTACTGATATTCAAAAGTAAATTCATCAGCCCTTTTCAATCTATAATTACATGAGTCCCAATTTGCATAAAGTGTCAATCTGCAGTCCTTAACTCCCATCCCAGAATTGACATTGGAGTGAATGAAGACCGATCCTTCAAATGTACAATTCTGTGGATCATTCTTTCCCAACTGCCCTGCTACGATACTCTGGACTTTTACCCCTTTTTTATCCCCAATAACTTGATCCTGGCTGTCAGAATCAGCAACATACTTGTCCATAGACACATCATTCACCAATTCTTTTTGAAAATTCTTCCTAGAAGTAACCCTTTCCACTCCAAGGCTATCAGAAGTGTTCATTCCTTCTAACGTAATCTTTGATGACTGACAACTTCTGGTGAGTTCAGCAACGGCATCAGCTTCATGTTCAAAGTTATCTGATGATTTCTTCTTGTTTTTCTTGTCACCATTCCGCTGATTAGTCAACTCCTGAAGCAATTCAGGGGACTCAGAGGGATATTGCGAAATGGGGTCTTCTGTTTTCCTAGAAACCAGAGGTCCTCTCACTCGCGTCTTTCTTGTAAGTGAATGGATGGCTGGTGAGGAAGTCTGCGAACTGAAAGAAACTGTTTGCGACTGTGAACAGTGACAAGAAGTTCGCGATTGCGAGTCAAGAGAAGTAGTTCGCGACTCAGCCTGCGAGCTTGTGAGCGACTGCGACGAACGATATCTAGGGCTCCTCGCTCGAAGTTCGTTGTTGCCATGCTCTCTGTGGTCGGAATTTCTTGGACGTCCCTTGTGCGAAGTATGGTGCGACCTATGCGAAGGGTGAGAATGGTGCGATGTATGTCGCGAACGACTTTGAAGTCGGTTCTGCAATTCTGCGATGCTAGCTTGCATCGCCGCTTGCATCACGGCCATATTAGCCGCTATATTCGCCATCCTAACTTGCATTTGACGCTGATTCCTCTCCACTTCAGTGAGTCGTCCCTCCATTTTCAGGCGTGGTTATCTCAGCGATCGACTGCTCTGATACCAATGTTAGAGTCCTCAGCAGTACAGAACAATTACAGTAGATTAACAAGAAAACCAAACTGAATTCTTATTTGATGAAGAAGATCGGTTACACAGAGAAGCAGTAACAAAGCCTCCCAAAAGAGAAGAGAATAACTCTCTAATCTTTCCCAGTCCCAGTCCAAAGTCTAAACAGCCCCCTACTAATTCCCCCCTCCCGTCTATTTATACTATACAATACCTCAAGTACCCATTGCTAATATTCTTATTAAGACTTCTATTATTAGTCTAATATAAGAGGGTTCCTAACATTGAATAATATGATAATTATGATTAGATGTGAATCTCATATTGGCCACTAAGGTTTCATAGTCTGTCGTTTTTGGACACTAACTTATGATTCTCTTCTTTTGTTAATAAAAACCGTTAATCTTGTTTTTTCTTTCTTTTTTGTGATGTCAATAAACTAACTTAGTTGATGTATATAGTTTTAGAATATTAAATTGGAGATTTTAGAGCAAGTAATTCGATTTTATTTAAGAACTTATATTTAAGAAGTTCAAAATATATTTAGAACTTTTCGTTCATATGATTTTTCTGGAACTTTTGAAATTATTGATTTGTTAAATTCATTTAACGAAATTAAAGAATTCAGTTACATTATAATAGATTTTCTTAATTTTAAGATCTAATGATCTAATGTAATTCTTAAATTCATGTAATTGTCTTTTTGGCATCGATATCATGGATCGATTCATGTTAGCCGACCCCAAAATCATTTGGGACTAAGGTTTGGATGTTGTTGTTGTTGTTGTAGTAATGATTTAATTTAAATCAAACACAAGCAATAATCAGAAAACGTTAAATTTGTGCTTATTTGGTTCATTTCAAACCTTAGTGTCTATAATGAGATTCACATATAGCCATAGTGTCCAATTTGGTCCTTTTGGAACCTTGGTGTCCAATTTGGTCCATTTGGAACTTTAGTGTCAAATATGATATTCACATATAACCATAGTGTCCAATTTGATCGTTATTTCATCTTTGTTTTCATTTTATATTTTTTTGGGATAGAATCAAACACAAGCAATAATTTAGCATTTTTCCATTTCCCTAGTATTTCCTTTCATTGAAACATACCTGAAGATTTAGTTCGTTGAAACCAGGATAGTGGAAGAAATCAACTTGATTTTATGCGATACACATTTTTTGCATTTGCTAATGATAGATTATTATTTTGATGGCAGGTAGTCTGTGCCATTATCTCATACTGGGTGTTATCTGGGTGTTGAGCTGCTTGAATGTAGAGACTCTGCAGATATTGCTCGAACGAAGCAGTGACTTGCCTCCTCCTGCCCCACCCATAAGTGGAATGTTTGAACCCATTGAGATATCACCGGCTGTGTTCCCACATCATTCATTTCCTGATCAAGCTTTGTCGCCGATGTACCCTTCTTTTCCTACCACATATAGTCCCATCTTGAGCGGAAGATGCCTTGTAAATTTCTCTATGATTTCAAACATAACAGAAAAAACAGCGTCTGATTGTACCGCACCCCTCTCAAAAGTAGTAAGAAATGTTATATGCTGCCCACAATTCAATAGCTTGCTTCACATATTTCAGGGCTTCTACAGTTCCAGTTCTAACACTTTAGTTTTACAAAATGCTGTCGCTGATGATTGTTTTAAAGATATCATCAGCATATTAGCCAGTAGAGGGGCAAATGGATCCGTATCTACAATGTGCTCTACCAACTCATTGAATCTTACTGGAGGATCTTGCCCCGTGAAAGATATAGCTACTTTTGAGAAGGTGGTGAATACCAGCAAGTTGTTGGAGTCTTGCATCACAATTGATTCTCTTAAGGAGTGTTGCAGGCCGATTTGCCAGCGTGCAATTTCAGAGGCTTCACTTCAAATCTATGGGATAAAACCAAATCAATCAAATATGGTTGATAATAAGAATTTAATAGAATCCCCGGGAAAGTTTGATAGCCTTGATGATTGCAAAGGAGTTGTGCATTCATGGCTTGCCAGGAACTTGCCTTTTGAAGATGCAAATAAAATATTTCGATTACTATCTTCATGCAAAGTTAACAAAGGTATTCTTTTCCTCCGCCATTCATAAATTATAAACAGTTAGCATATTAATTTTGTTGATATTGCCCCCCTGTACATGCTCTGTTTCTTTAAACGATCAAAAGAAACTATGCATTAAACCTTGGTGCTTCCCAATGTTGAGCGTTGGGTCGTTATTCTTTTTCTGAATATGTTATTTGACTCAATTGAGATCCTACTATGTGTTTGTGGATCATGTTTCATTTCATAGTTGAAGTGTTATGAAGTATTACTAATATTTAGTAGAGAAAAATGTCTTGTACTTGTAGTTTATGCTATTGGGAAGTGACTAGTCTTGAACAAATTTTTTATTCCCACCATCTCTAAGAACTTGTAGTTTGTTTTATATCTAAATGTGTATGTTTATGTTTTTTTACATCTTCAATTTGTCATCCCATGCTTAAAGCTAGTATCGTGGAATCAAATTATATATTGATTTATTGTATATTGTCAGGCTCTTAGACATCTCTCTATTTGTATTGCAGTTTGCCCTTTACATTTCAAGCAACCATCTGAAGTGATAAAAGAATGTCGAAACTTAGCAGCACCGGGTTCATCATGTTGTAGCTCACTGAACTCATACATTGCTGATATACAAAAACAAATGTTGATTACTAATCGACAGGCGATAATGTGTGCAACTCTATTGGGATCAATGTTACAGAAGGGGGGAGTGATGACAAATGTGTACGAGCTTTGTGATATTGATTTAAAAGATTTTAGCCTTCAAGGTAATACTCGATAGATATTGTTTGCTTATTCAATCTTTTTTTAAATGGTTCCTTATTCTGGATCTTACGTTTCACCGTTTTTTATTCACATGAATTGGCATTGGAGCAGCATATGGTGGACAAGAAGGTACTTAATTACCTCCTTTTCATTATTGTCTTCTTTTTAAATTTAAGCTAACTTTTGACATCATATGGATGATCGCTGGACAATTAAAAAAAGTGAAACAAGAAAACCCTTCTTCTTGATGCACTAACTATCTATCTAAGTTGTTTTCTAAAAGAGTTCAGTGAATTTACAAGGTTAGAGATGCGTAGACTAAAATTTGAAATGAATAAAACAGGGTGCCTGCTTCGAAGCTTGCCTACAGATATGGTATACGACAACTCAGCAGGTTTCAGCTTTAACTGTGACTTGAATGATGATACTGCAGCTCTATGGCCTTCATCATCATCTGGTACATTCTCCTTTTGTGCACCTGGTAAGTTGATGAATATTGTGTTATTACAACTTTGCAACTTATTTTACGTTACACTATCAATTCATTGCTATACTATTATCATTATCATCATCATTATTCTTATTGCTATTGTTTTTGTTCATCTCCAAAATGGTTGTGATATACTCACTTTGTGATATTGAATTCCATTAAAATTTGCAGAGATGTCCTTACCAGCATTACCGACATCTTCAGAAGCTGGTATGTTTAAGTCATGTCTTGAGTTATCTTAGTTGCTTGGATAATTTGATAGTACTCTATATCTTATGCAGCTTGTTTTTTGTAGACAAGTGGATTTCATTTATTATATATACTCCCTCCGTTTCAGTTTGTTTGACACACTTTCCTTTTTTGGATGTTTCAAAATGAATGCCACACTTCCTTTCTTTCCTTATTTGTTAAACAAATCTATATCAAAACAGTGCAAAACAGTGCAAAACAGTGTCGAAACAGTGTACTCTACAGTAAAATTTACCCCTCAGTAACTTTTTTCCTTAATTTTTGACAAGTCAAACTATGTCATCCAAATTGAAACGGAGGGAGTATTATTGAAATATACAGTTGAGACCTAATATGTGATGCCCTACCTCCTAAGTTGAATTCATTTGTGTTTCTTTACGGGGATTACTTAAAAAAGTAAAAACAATCACTCTTTGAAATGTGCTAATGCACTTGAAAAAATGCCCCTCAAATCTCAACTATGTACTACAACATCAAATCAATATGTGAAATGAGAAATTGAACACTATTCTGAGATGGACTAAAAAGGAAAGTAGGACGCGTATAAATGAAATACAGATGGAGTTTTTGGCAGCTGATATATTTTATTATGTAACACATGCAGGCTACCGAATGATGCTGGATATTGCTGTGTTGTTTCTTTCTTTATTTATTTCCAAGTTGTCATGAGATTTAGCTTTTGAGTATTGGGCCCTATTTGGAATGAAGTATAGGAAGTCATAGATGATGAACTATTGGAAGATCTCATGTATATTTTTACATATTTTCATGTATGTATAGCTTTTTATGTTATCCACTCCTAGAAGTAGTTTTTTTAAATGAGTGTCTAAAGATGCAAGTTGGTGCAAAAGGCTATCTTTGTATGCAGACTTGAAGCAAACTTGAAGCAATTAGTGGGCGTTTGGTTCACAGAACGTTTTATTTCCACAATTCCACTTAGAATGAGATTGGCTGGGGTGTGTATATGTTTTGCTTGGTTACCCTACAAGGAATATTTTAGATGGATAACAGTGTCATGTATAAATAATAAAGTACGATTTTTGGCAATTATTTGTGATACGTTTTATGTATAAAATTGTCTTTTACAATTGCACACTATATCGTTATTTATATCCTGTCTGCATCTTCGTCGCGTTTATTATAGTAAAATAAGTGGGCTGGGGCCTGGGAACACGTATGGCCGATGTTTTACTCCTTAGGTTCTGTCAATTTGATAGTTACTTTATGAGTGATTTCTTCTCAAATCAATTAAAGTCGGTGGCTCTAGCCTCTAGGCAGTCTAGGGTTGTGTGCTATTGTTCAATTGCTTTTTACAAATTACAACATTCCTCCAAAGTAGATTTGTTTTTTCAAAGCAATTACTGTATATGCTGGTACCGATGACCATCCTCTTAAACCAATTACTGTTACGGGGTGAGATAGGCTTGGATTCGGTTCGGGCCACCCGGCCCGTGACCCGGCCTGGCCTGCTACTGTGTGGGCCCAGGACCGGCCCGGTCTGGCGGTCCGGGACCGGGTGTAGACCCGAACCGGCAGGGATGGGCGGGGCGGGTACGGTTCTTGAAAAAGGTGACCCAGGTCTGGGTCCAACGGTCCATTTTATTTTTTTTTTGTTGGGCCCCAAACTAGCCGTTATAGCCTTGGCCCTTGGGGGGTGAGCTGGGGACAACCCAAACGGCTATATAGCCGTTGGGTGGGGTGGAGGGGGGGGTTGGGGGGGTGGAGGGGGTGGGGGGTAAAAAAACCTATAAATACTAATAATCTTAAACATTTTTTCATATCTCTTCTTCAATTTTTCATAAATCCTATTCTTAACTCTCTACTCTCTAATTCTCTTATTCTCCAATATATTATATTTATAATTTATATATCTACTTTATACTTAAGATGGAAAGTCAAGATGCCGTTATACGGTATAATTTTGATAAGCAGAAGGACCCGAAGACCGGGATGTGGTACGCAACTTGCAAATGGTGCGGGAAAAAATGTAGCATGGAGGTTTTAGGCGGATACGGGATGACAATGAAGCATATGAAGTCATGTGACAAAGCCAAAGGATCGGGAGGTGCGGGAAGTTCCGATTGATTACAATTTACAAAATGTTTGTCTCTTGAAGTTTGTTTTTAATTTTCAAATGTAGTTCCTATTTCATTTCAAGCACTTGAAGTTTGTTTTTAATACTTGTATAAAATTATAAACTATAAAAGATAAATTATAAAAAAAATTCTTTAACCGGCCCGACCTGACCCGACGGGTGGCCTGACCCGTGACCCGGGCGGGTGGCCTGGCCCGAACCGGACCTGTCTAACCCTCGAGCCGGTCCCGGGCCCATGTCATACAAACCGGTGGCCCGACCGGGGCACTGGGCCTAGACCCGGCCCAGGCCCGACCTGGCCCGAGTCCATGACTACCGTGAGATGGGAGGGTAGTACTATATTTTTTTTGTTTATACACGTTTTGAGTAGATTTATAGAGCCATATGTGACTGGAATTACATGGGGTATGTTGGCATCATCTTCACAACACATTGTTTTAGTGGAGACCTCCACTAAAATGATGTGTGGTGAAGATGATCCCAATATACTCAATGTAACGCCATAAGAGAGTAACATATGATTCAATGAAAATTTTGTACACGTAATTGATGTTCAGACAGGTAGGGGTGGTTCGATGTTACTAAATCGGTGTTACTAATGAAATATACTAAATCGGTGTTACTAGCGACATATTTAATCCATTATTAAAATGTTACAAAATATAATTAATAATCTATTAGAAAAAATTCCACTTTTGGTCCCGTGATTATTATACCACTCACATTTAGTCCTTTACTTTCAGATTGTCCACATTTAGTCCGTGACCATTATCCCTTCACCACCCCTTGTCCTTTCGGCCAAAATTTCGGCAAATTTAATGCAATTTTCACTTTTCAGGTATGAAAAACCAAATTTAACGCAAAGATTGATATGAAAAACCCAACCTTATATAAAATTTAATGCAAAGACTGATTTTGAGGTTGATAAGTGGACTAAATTTGCCGGAATTTTGGTCCGAAGGACAAGTGGTGGTGAGGGGATAATGAACACAGACTAAATGTGGACAATCTGAAAGTAAGTGACTAAATGTGGAAGTGGTATAATAGTCATGAGACCAAAAGTGAAATTTTTCCTAATACTCAATATTGAACAATAATGATTATTAGTATATTTAAGTAGTTCAACATACCACGTGTTAAAAAATAACACATTCTCCTAAAATAACGTGAACAATATAGATATAATTAAATAATAGTCATCTCTAACAAAATTATTCAAACAATATAAATATTAAATCTTAAATTTCTAATATGATATTGTGTATTTAGTCATTTTTATAATTTTAAAAAACATATTTGAATAAGACTTTCGAACAGAGTTGTGTGTCTTGACTCGTGGAATCCCTATGCAGATACACTCGTCATAACTCATAAGTATATCCCTCTTCACTTGTTGGCTACTCAGCGGCTCAGCCATTGCGACTCGCAAGCTATTGGAATAAGATGGACTTTTTCTAGATATTAGTACATTATTCATTAGTCATTGAAGTTTGTTTGAATTTACGTAGTAGAAGCGTAGAAAGTTATACTCACTCCGTCCCAATTTGATTTGCAAAATTTCCTATTTTGGTTGTCCCAAAATGGTTTTCCACTTTCTATTTTAGGTATGTAAATAAGAATAAAGTGACAAATTTACCCTTGTTTTTACTTTTTCTCCATTAACTTAAAGGCATCTAGTTTAGAAAGATGTGCAAAAGTGTAAAAAGCAAGCATCATTTATTGTCATTCCTTAATCCTTGTGCCGGTCAAAGTTTGCAATTCACTTCGGGACGGAGGGAGTAGCGGGTTTGGGGAATTGAGCCTTTATTTTTGTATTTTGGTATTTGTAACCAACCGAAGTATTAATTTTGGACTTCAAAATTGTAATGGACTTTTACAATATTTTAGAAATTAATTGTTGGGTAGGGAGTCGGTACGGTATCATTCCGGTATACCGCGATATTTGAAAACATATATCGTTACCGTATCGAAATAAATCGGTACGGTATGATACCGTACTGAAAATGATGATATACCAATATTTCGGTATTTTTCGGTACTGTAAGTGCAGTATACCGATTTTACGGTATTATTTCCCACCCCAGAATCAGGTGAAGGTGAGGCCTGATGATACATTAATAAATAGTTACCTTTTTATTTATTTGTTTTTGCAGACTTTGTTTGTTTTTATGATATCGTTCATTTTAGTACCTTGTTTTATTTCTTTTGGTTAATAAGATTTATCAAAATAAAGCTATGAGTCTATGACTACACGTTTAAATTATTATATTTTTACAATTTTGTAATGTTATCGTAATCTTATTAAAAGATAAAGAAGTTAAAATCTACGATCACATTATGAAATTGTAAAAATATGATTTAGTAGTCTACTCATAGCTTTATATTTTAATAAATGTTAATAACCAAAAGCTGACTTGCAAAACTTAGGGGATGTATTCATTTGGGACTTTTTAGAACATTTGAGGATTTTCCAAATCATGATGTATTTAAATGACACATTTCAAAACATTTTTGAAATACTAAAATGTTGAGGTGTAGTTAAATGTCCTTGAAGCTTTGGATTTCATTTAAAATTGGGATCTTGTGAGACTTTACAAGCAAAACAAAAAGGGAAATCCTATTTTCGAATCCCACCTAGGGGTGGACCGGGATTGATCGACCCAAACAGGTACTGTGCAGACCCGACTTGGCCCGGTGAGTCGGTATCGGGACCGGGACTGGGGCCCGAACCGGGAATTCTGACGACGGGCTACGGGGTTAAAAAATAGTGGATCGGCCTGGACGGGCCATAACGACCACTTTTTTAATTTTTTTATTTGAATTGTTTTGGGCTCTTGGGGCTCCTAGCCGTTGCCGACTAGTGAAATATACATTGATTTTATTTGCAGCACTTGCGAATTAGTTTTAAAAAAGAAATTAATTTAGCCCGGCCCGACCTGGACCTGACCCGAAGCCCGATCGCGTAGCCTGACCCGGCTCGGTCCAGGTATATAACCGGGCTAGTATCCAGACTATTTTTACCGGATCCGGAGCCCGCCCAGAGCCTAGTCCAGACCCGGCCTAGTCCAGACCCGGCCTAGTCCACCACTAATCCCACCTCTACACATGAGATTTGTGGGAATACTAAAATGTCTATTAAACCCCCCTACAAATCTTAAAATGTCATAAGAAGTCCCAAATGAATACATCCCCTTAAATAAATATAGGAGTTGTTTGGAAGATGGGTGATGAGTTAACATTTAGCTTGTTTGACTACAAATAATGTTTGGTAATTAGCTGGTTTGTTCAGTTGCTAGATAAGAACTTGAAATGTTAAAAGCGAGACGGGGGAGCGTTTTGGTTTTAGCGATTAGGATTTTATCATTTTTTCCCAAATATCGTACTTTCTTTAATGACAGAAAATAGTAAAGAATATCATTATTTCTATCTTCGAGCTTGAGAAGAACAATAAATCATTCATCGCTTCAAAAAAACCCCATTTTAAAATCCAGCCATTCAAGGAGACGAACTACAAAGGAAGGCATGTCATATTTTTTCCTTCTCTTTAATGAGTTACTAGTTTTGTACCCGGGCGTTGCCCCAGGTGCAACTACCAATTTTGTATATGAGTGAAATATATACTACGTATTTCTTATGAATTTTCTAATTCTCATTGCTGAAAGCATTGAAATATTTATTAATTTGATATAATAATAAAGAAGTTAATTAGGCTCCGTAACACATTAGAATGACTAAAATACATAAAAATTGAAAGGTCGTGTTTCTAAATTCTGCAAAATCTCTTTATAGACAACATTTATGATCTTGATGGAAACCCCCCGATATGTAGAGCGAATTAAAATCCTCAATTCTTTTTTGCTCATGACCCTTGATATGGAAACATATAATTCGCCGTGAGTGAAGACATTTTTCTCAAGATATAGTCTGACCAGGGATAGACACTGATCTTGGCTCTTGTTAATGTTCATCGCTAAGCATACCATAATCAGGAATTACTTCCTTTGAAAACTAAAAG